CTTCGCAGCCAAGAGCACAAGGCATGATCACTGGCTCTCACTCTGACTGTGTTGCCATAGACACAGCGGGTTTTAGAAGCACTTATCAAACTTTTCCTGAACACTCTGTATCTGTGTTCCAGGTGCTGGGCACAGTGTCGCTGCCTAGCGACCTGCCCTGTCTCTCCATGGCGGCATGGCTGAGCGCAGCAGAGCGCTGCAGGGTGACCGCCATAGCCAGACTGCTCAACCAGCTGCCGAGCGAGTCCTCTGCTGTGATCACCTCCGCTGACACCGTGCTGACTGAGCTGTTCAGCCACAGAGGTGAGACTGCTGACTGAGTTTCTCCAACATGTATTGTACATACACCCACACATGTGGAGAGCTGTCTATTTTGAGGTGGAGCCAAAAGAGCACTTGTCCATCTTACAGTATGTATGTATGTGGGGAGGTGGTTTGGACGACACAACAATGATCAACATGAGTTTATTTTTAATAGGATTTTCATAACTGCTCCTTCTTGTCTGTCTCCCTGTGTCTCAGGTTCTAGTACACGTTTTAAAAATGGAGACCCCATACATCGGTACGTAGCTGTCACAAATACACACAAACACATACACAATACATACAAACTGAACTGTAGACCATAATACAATGTCACTCTTTTTATAAAATCAACCATTTTAAAGGTTTGTTTAAAAGTATATATTTAAAAAAAAACATACTCTTTTATTGCATTTACACTAAATACTTTTTCCTGTGTATGTGTGTGTGTGTGTTTGTGTGCCTGGTATTGCTCACATTGTGGGAGCCAGAAATCGGCACTTGAGTCAGCAACTCCTGTTCGAATCCCACATAAATAGATTTCTCACTTGACTCGTAACTTGTACCTAAATGACTGCACACTTGACTTGGACTCCAGTATTTTTGCAGGAGGGCAGCTTTGGTTTTTACTACTTTCTGTAATCTTTTAACACATCATAGTGGAAATCTGCCAACTACAGGCATGATGTGACACAACAAGCTCTGTCAAGTCGTGTTGGTGACATGATTTATATGCTGTAACTTTTAGATATAAGGAGTTCAAACCCCTGTGATTGACAGAAAAACTACCTCTTGTAAAGAACATGTGAAAAAGATAAAAGTTAACTATAGAGTATTGTAGGGATGACATATTTTTGCAGGCTAACTCGGAAGTTAGCATCACCCTGGTTCCCTCTACAAAAAGTCAATGGGATTTTTCCATAGGTTTTGTTCAGCAAGATAATCTTCACAAGTGAACATAGCTTTTAGAATTTTTAGAGCCCAAATACAATTGGCAAAAGTAAAAAGCTATTGTTAGGCTATAAATGAACTACATCATGGTCCCATGACTTCATTGTGACACCACAGCATCAAACTTGATTTAGCGCTCTTACCTCTTCTAAAAAAATCCTTTCCCTTGAACATGCATCTAGTGATCATGGCTGGGTCAGTTAGAATAGTTTGCAAAGACACGAGTTTAGAAATAATAAGGCTGTAGGCACACTTGACTTGGACTCCAGTATTTTTGCAGGAGGGCAGCTTTGGTTTTTACTACTTTCTGTAATCTTTTAACACATCATAGTGGAAATCTGCCAACTACAGGCATGATGTGACACTCAAATAAAACACACAACAAGCTCTGTCAAGCCGTGTTAGTGACAGGATTTACAGTATATGCTGTAACTTATATATATAATATCACTCATGTATAGAATATTATGTATATATAGAATAGTTTGCAAGTTTAGAAAAATAACAAGGCTGTTAAGGCGAGATAGTTAGTCTCCACGTTCGGCCATGATCTTTAATGTCCCAGAAAACCTCTGTAGTTTCATTTAGCCACTTGTTAGCAACTTCCTTTTTAAAGACACGTAAAAGCATTAAAAATCAAGAGTGGCGTGTTTACTGATGTATTTTGTGTTCAGGAACAAAATGTAACAATGTCTTAGCCTTGTGTTTACCACAGGTGTCTAACCAAAAACCCATTCAAAAAACCCAGTCACTTCAGGGAGAGGGAACTGGAAGTGCAACAATATTAATTCAGTTGTGGGTTTTAGGACTTAATGCTACAGCACTCTGTTATTCAAAAACATTGTGCTCAAGGTACAAGTCAGATGCACTCAGCAAAGGTTCATCAAGCAAAATCAACAAAAATCTGACTCAGTGAAGAAGGCAGCTATGCTGAAACATCTGTGTTCTTTCCTAGCCATGTAAATTTAAAGCTATTATTAAAACTTGTATTTGGGGCCATCTTTCAGAGTGCAAAGGCCTTTTGTTGATTTTGTAAGAAGATAAAAGTCACAAGGCTGACCACATCTAACTTGAAAACTCACCCAGAAGTCAGTATTGCAGATAGCCTATACATTCGAGAATTTAACCTGGAATTAGTGTAACGTTGTGTTAATGTCACTGCTGTTGTTGTAATGTCAAGCATGTTGGCTGGTTAGGTTCCTCATCTCTGTAATGTATAATGATGTAGCTGTTCAAAGTGTTTAACTTTACTGCCCTCTGAGTGTGTGTCAACATGGTGTTGTGGCTCGTGATTATTTGCTAAACCAAGAACCTGTTAATTTGCATGGTAAATTATGTGGTGTTGATAATGTTGCTGGGCATACACTTCAGGTTCTACAGTTTGCACTTTATTAGGAACTCCAGGATAAATCTAAAGCACTGCTTCAAGAAGATGATAATATTTGCGATCATACTGTATGAGGTAAGACAGCTGGCAATAATATGTGTGAGTATTAGTCTATGGTTGTTCATAAATTATTAAGTTGTAAACAAAAAAGTGTTTTTGTAAACTCTTCCATAAGTGAAATCATAAAATATGTAGTGTGTGTTCTGTATGTGAGAATACACTTTAAAAAGATACAACTTCAAGAAATCACAAATACAAAGTGAAAACTGGCGTTTATGCTTTCCTCGATATGAAATTGAATTTACAACAGTAACCTGACTATCAGAATACATCACAGGGTCACAGGCTTAATGCACTGAGAAGATGCATCAATTCCACAAACTGCACATGCATCCAAAGTTGGACTTTATTCTCCTCAGGCAGATGGGGCCAGTAGTTGGGCCCCTTTGTCACCATGGGCCTGGGGTGATGGCACCCTGCTTGCTCCACTACAGGTTGTAGACCTCCGTTGTTGTCCGGAATCTTCACACTTCACCAGCCAGTACTTGCTAAAGATTTCTGTAGGTTCCAAACATTGTACTATTAACTTTGCTGGGAGCTGTTTGTGCTGTGTACAGACCTTATATTTGACTTTTTGCCTCACGTTTGTAATAAGACCTCCTGAATGCTGACCATCTGTTTTATTCAGACATATATAAGCTGAATTATTTTACAAAGAGAACACATTTTCAGAATCTGCTTTATTGGCTAGGTGTGTTGGACACACGAGCAAAAACTAAACCAGTTGTGATTAATGCAGAAACCATCCATCCATTATCTATGCTGCTTGTTCCTGAATAAGGTTGTGGGGGCGCTGGAGCCAACCCCAGCTGACACTGGGTGAGAGGTGGGGTACAATAGGTTTACAATACACAGAATATTTATCACAAGTTTCCTGTGCATACACTATATACACTCACCGCCCACTTTACTAGGTACACCTGTACAATTGTATGCACTTCAATACAACACTTCCACCTTAACATCTGTGTTTATGAAGTGCAAAATGTTTCAGCTTTAGGTGAAATTGTCATAAATGTGTAAATTAAATTAAATGTTTATTATTGAGGTCATAGTTAAAGGTGGTGTTGTTGCACTGGATTACGTTATATTCAGGGGTGTTCCTAATATTCTGACATCTATGCAGCTGGGGTGGACAAAAATATAAATACAACTCTGAATATAATGTAGTCCAGTACAACGCCACCTTTAACTATAACCTCAATAATAAACATTTTATAAACATAATATAATTTATACATTTATGACAATTTCACCAAAACTGAAACATTTTGAGCTTCATAAACACAGATGTTAAGGTGGAAGTGTTGCACTGAAGTGCATACAATTGTGTACCTAATAAAGTGGACAGTGAGTGTATATACTGTATACACACACACACACACATACGCACAGAAGTCAATACAGCAGTTGGTTTGCACTCGTGTCACTCTACAGCTCACTGTGCATCTCCTGTGAATCTGTTTGCTTCCATAGTTCTGTCAGGAAAAGCACAACCGTGTCTACCATTCAGTGAAAAACTTATGTAAAAGGAGTGAAAACTGTGGTTGTGAGGACAAGTTAAAGGTCATTCATTCATATCACTCTAGGTGTAATACCACCGCCATAGGCGCTGAATGTTTCTCTTCATACAGACAAATGTC